CCGAACGGTACCCTTCCGCATTTATTAGCCGCTTACAAATAGGCCAACTTTGCTACCATCGACGCAACCTACATATTTCAAGAATAGCCCATTAAAACATACAAAGGGTTCATTTCATTTACAACCCTCATCTTTAGCCATCTGTATAGAGTTTAACAGCAGTCTGTAGTACTTGAGTGTATAGTCTATACACAGTATACACATTACATTCTAATAAAGGCTTTGATCAGCATTTTACGCACGTAGGGAATGTTAAAATGTGTTCTTCGATCTTTAAAGGAGCTTATTAGTAGTATACGTTCCACTAGGTTTGGCTATATTATCTGAGTCGGGTATTCGAGTATATGCATATTCCAAGTTGTAAGTCAATTATTTGAACAGACCGTTAATAATGTTTTAAGAAATATATAAGGCTAAAAAATATTTGTTTACCTGGCCTTAGACTACACGATTCAGAACTATTAATATTATTATTAATTGACATACTTAGTTTTCTTGCATTGAATATGATCTATATAAATATGTGTGAGGTTGGTTTGGAAGAAAATCAGCAATTTAAAAGCTATTCAAAGCTATTTATCATATTTATAAATCAAGTCTTTTTATAGATATATATTGTTAACTTTATAAACTAATTTTTTTTTCTTTTAGACGAATTGTCGTCATTTATTTCGTCGCCCAATGACTACGACATAAATCATCATGATTTCGACGAGATCATAGGTTCGACGATGTCGCATCTAGATTCCTCGTTGGACCCTAATACATTTTTACCCCAAGCTCCGGAAACTTCATTACACAGTGACAATTTGTTCTCTGATTTATTTCCAACAATGCCAAATAGCCATCATGACTTGGAGCTCAATTTTAACAATAATTCGGCAGCTGGCACGCAAAATTGGACTGCAGCCTCATCAGTGGAAGCTGCCGAAAGCGGGACAAATTTAATGACATTTTGCAATGATACTACAGAAATTGAAAACATAACATGTGGTAATCTAATGGAGCACATACAAGATCGAGATACTCCATCTCCAACGGAAAGTTGTGCCAGTTTCAGTGGCAGTTCTACAAGTGGAGTGCACAGCGATACCTCAGATGCATGGCAGAATAGGCAACTAGACCAAAATCATATGCCGTCTACTTTACACAATGTTTCGCAGTTGCCAATGCCATATGTTCAAAGCTTTGCCATTAAAAATGATGACAGTATTCAAAAAAGTTTACAAAAGCCAGATCTTTTATCGTTGGCTTTTAATAATCAGGAATTAAAATCGAATTCTATAGCCAATACGGCAGTGGTTGCTCAGACTACTTTAGCGCCAAAAAAGGTTCCGGCCACAGTTCAAATTCCTGTTAATATGGATGAAAGCTTAGCTTCGAAACCGCAAAAACCCTGCCGAGACAAAATGCCAATAGAACATTCAACGGAAAGCATCGGAAAAACTAAAACTATATTCCTTTCCACGAATGACTACAAGGCACTCATGGATAAAATTAACTTGAATGGTTCTAAAGGTACTAAGATTAATGGAAGTGTCAAAACACAAATACCAAAAATCGTCGTGAAAGCTGGAAATGCTAAGGTAAAAGGCCAACATATGACGGATGGAACGAGTCCAACTAGTACACGCAGCTCCTCCAACTTGCATAAAAATCCGTATCATATACCACATTCCAATTGTAATCGTGACACCTCTATGGAGCCAGAACCCTTAAATTACATATTTAAGAGAACGATAGATGAGAAGATGTATAAAAAACAGCAACGCATGATTAAAAATCGTCAATCAGCTTCGTTGTCGCGACAGAAAAAAAAGGAATATGTCGTCTCGTTGGAGACCCGATTAACCAATCTTGAGAAAGAGAACTATACTCTTAAAGGGGTGAGTCACGAATTTTTATTTTGAAGACTTTAACGAGGAAAAAAAAATGTTAAATATTTTTCTGAAAATTCATTTTTACGTGTTTCACAATGTTCTAAAATGCACGTCTCTTAGATGAAACAAGTAAGAAAAAGTTTCGATTTTCGCACCGACCTCGATTTTGAAAAAAATCGTGATAGAAGGTCATATCTCCGCGCGGAGATATGACGTTCTAACGACATAACTCCGCGCGGAGCTATGTCGTTTTAGAACGTCGTATCTCCGCGCGGAGTTATGTCGTTAGAACGTCATATCTCATTGAAAAAGTTTCGATTTTCGCACCGACCTCGATTTTAAAAAAATCGTGATAGGAGGTCATATCTCCGCGTGGAGTTATGTCGTTTTGGAACGACATATCTCCGCGCGGAGTTATGTCGTTTTGGAACGACATATCTCCGCGCGGAGTTATGTCGTTTTGAAACGTCATATCTCCGCGCGGAGTTATGTCGTTTTGGAACGTCATATCTCATCGAAAAAGTTTCGATTTTCGCACCGACCTCGATCTTGGAAAAAACATGATTGTAACCCCTTGCCATTTTGTCGATTTGGGTAAAAATTTTGGATTTCCTTTTTTTGATGCCAATCGATAGAAATTGCAAAATCGGACAATTTTTGACGGAAATAGTCCAAAAAATCATCAAAAAGGTTGAATTTACAAACGAATCGGTTTTTTGTCAACAACATTTTTCAACCCATTGATGATTAATTTGTTTGAATGCCAATTGATGGTAGGGATCCGTACGCATTCAAAAAGGTATAATATTTTAAAATCAGACATTATTTACCCGAGATATAAAAAAAAAATTATCGAAATGTTTCAATTTTCGCACCGACCACGATTTTGAAAAAAATCGTGATGATTTGGAAGGTCATATCTCCGCGCGGAGTTATGTCGTTTTGGAACGTTATATCTCCGCGCGGAGCTATTACCCGAGATATTAAAAAAAAAAATCTTCGAAAAAGTTTCGACTTCGCACCGACCTCGATTTTGAAAAAAAAATTTTGTCGATTTGGGTCACTTCTGATGAAAAAAAAGAAAGTTAAATATATATAATAATATAATATATAAATATAATAATATAAATATAATAATATAAATATGCTGAACATTTATGTTTGCAAGGGTGTTTAACCTTCGGCATTCCGAAGAAATCTATACTTTCTTGTTTAATATGTTTAAATATTGTTTTTACAGGAAAATTTGTCGTTGCGAAACCAACTGGTCGCTTATGCCAAAACGTGCAAGTGCCGTAAAGGCAGTATGTGTGAATTTGTGTTGCATTCTTTAAACTCAACTTCTCGACCTGACCAGCACATAAAAATCGCTCCAAAACCAACTTCTAAAAGTTTTAAGCAGCATATGAATGCAGCTACAGTTAAAAAGAATATTGCCGTGCTTTTCGCAATGGCTTTCATGGTCACTCTGAATGCTGGAAATTTTCAATCATATTTAACTAACCAAAATCTTGACGCGGAGAGCACTGCTGTCGTGTCCGAATCGAATGTAAACGACCCAATTCCCATAAGTCGTCGTCTACTTTGGGTAGAATCTGAAGAGGAGTACAACGAGAAGCTAAACCAAAGCAATCGTCAGACAGAGGACTTGGTGATGCCGCCATTACATTTTCTACGTCCCACAAGTCGAAGTCATAATGTTACAAAAAATGAGCGATGGAATTCTACGGTCTCCTCTAGGTTTAATACAGGAAATGATCCGCCGCCTTTGAGTTACCCAAGTCCTACAAAATGTAATGGTGCTTGTGCTTCGTCAAACTCAAGTGACAACAATTCGGAATACTCTCGATTAGCATTTCAGTTAGAAAAACTAGCTAATGCCAGTGGGCACCTTAAATTGAGCATGAACACGAAATTTAACATTGACCGGGATAACTCACATGGATTTAAGTTTTCGACAGATTATTTGGAATTGCCTGATATGGAAAGACAACCTACAAGCCTAGGCAAACGTAAAAGTTTGTTAGGCTTTAAAGAGATACCAGATATTGAGCATAAGCAACGGAAAATGGATATACGCAATCTTAATAAAAGAAACACACTTAATGACAGTGAACCCATTCATCTTTTTAAGGGTATTAAACGACAAGACGATACCTTTTATGTGCTGTCATTTAATACAGATCACATACTATTATCGCCATCAACTTTCAATAAAAGTTCACGTCCAAAAATGTCGTTGTTGTTACCTACAGCTGAGCCGTCGCCAAATGGCGACATAATGATGATGCAAGTCGACTGTGAGGTATTCAATACTAAGGAACTTGAGCTTAAGTCGCACATGATACCTGCTGGACTGCGGCCAAATGTAACTAAGTGGCAAATTAAACCAAATCCCACTTCGAATGTCAACAACAAAACACTAAGCAATAGTAAGTTTAATGACACGGTTATGAAGCACGAAAAACCTCGTGTGCGCACATTCTTCATGGTTGGACCGAAAAATCAGGCAGCTGCAGCGGTGTCTCAGGAGAAGCCACGATTGGTAGAGCTTAACAAGAGCATGGCTAATATTAGCAAGGTACGCACTGCTGACTATGATCCTCGTTTACATGGCTAACCCACATATATTTCCTTAACTAAGTCTAGATTTCTACTTTATATTTCAAATGTTTTATGTATTGTATGTGTGAACCATTAAAAGTCTGCTGACAGATTGTAAAATATTTTACTTACAGTATAAACTAAATATATTTCAGATTTAAACATTTATATGTAACTGCAATTAATTTGCAGGTATTCTTTTGAAACAAATCTAAGGCAAATTTCATTAGTTATAATTGACGCACTCTTTTTCTTCCACTATTGCTGTGGCTTGCATAATTGTAACATTAATTTCTGAGGCTTTATTATGGTATAAAAAGAAAATTAAAGAAACTAATCAAAGCAGCGTTTTTTCAATACTGACTAAGAAATGAAGGTGTAGGCAAAAGGCGCATTTCCATGTTTAAAAAGGTAAATCCTTCATTTTTAACACAGTTAAGCTATTCAGTCAGTCACAGTTAAGATCTTTTATCGTTTCTTTGCTGCGATTAAGCAGTATGATCAATAAATGGGAAGTTATTTTAAGCTTTTATTATTGTCTTACAATAAATCTTTAATAAATAAGGTTGGTCTGCAAACGCAAAATCAAGCACATGAACTCCAGCACATATAACAAAGGAAGCAGCAACAATTGAGTTTTCTGTGGCTAAATAGTTGATCTCTGCCTTTTAAAGTTTTCGGCTGGCGCACGGGATTGCCCGTTATTCTTCACCGATCGTCTACGTAACCGCGCGTCTCTCATGGCCTTCTGCAGTGCAAAAACCGGGGCTGTCATCTTGACTTTATCCAACGCTGCCTCCTGTTTCGTACCCCAAGACACCGCTTTCCCTTTCTGCAATAGAGGGTTCATTGACTACATTATAGAAGAAAATATTGACAAGAACCACCAGCACCACAATGCTATTCTCAAATATTGCCGCAACTCAATGCAATTTGCCGGGGTGCTCAAATTTCATATTGCTAACACCTTTGTGGTCTTGTTACAGTACTGCTTACTATTAACCTTCGTTAACGTTCCAAAATGTGTTTTTTCTGGGATTGAATACGCATTGCACCGGTAATCCACGCTCATCCGCCACTCGGCACGCTGTGCGAACTTTGGGATGGCTCAAAGGCAACCGTTCGGATCAGTTCCCCCACCAGCTCGTCGATAACTCGTTGCATCGCCGGGTAACTAGCCTCGTTGCGAACTCCCACGGCCGTGTTTTTCCCCACGGCTCGTTCGCTTACCATTACGACTTCCGATGGAGTGCGAGAAAAATTACTTTGTCCGTAAGATTCACTCTACCTCGTTTCGCGCTACTGAGTGCTGCGGACCAGGAATCCCCGTATCCACGGTCTTTCGTCGAGACCACGTCCTCAGCTAGGTCTGCTGCTTTGCCGAGTAAGTGTCGTTGTTCAGTCATTCCAGCACTATTGGAGCCGGTGTGAAATAGTACGGAATGGTTTGCCTTATTTGTTTACAGTCCTTCCAATTGGGTCTGACACAACTGGTTTTATTGGCACCTGCTCAGAGTTTTGTTCTCTGGTGTTGCTTCCTGGCGGCATAAGCATTTCGTTGATACTCTTCATCGTGTCCATAAAGTCCGTTTGGAAATCAAATGCTGACACAGGCATGTTACTCTTAAACAACACCATCGACCAGGGAAGATCCTAGAAAGCCCTGGTTGGCATTCAATTTCGAAGTAATATTAATAATATTTATATATATCATAGATTACTCCAGACCTCCAAAATAAAAATAATAATATAATAATTATATATATAGCTATATAGCAGCTCTTTGTCCTTCTCCCGCCTCGTTGGATTCCTGGATTTCCTGCCACTGTGGGCTCGGAAAATATTGACGGCTAGTCCCGTTTATGAGATCGGCCTCCCTCACCCGCTGGCACCCTCTCAATCTTTTTGGGAATTCCTAAGCGCTAGGCCTTATACCCCCGATAACCCTATCACATAATATATATCGACGTCGCCAAAAAAAAACATTTTAGTTTACCTTGAGACATTTCCGAATATTTATATAATAATTAAAGTTATCGCAGTAAAGATACAAAATCAAAATAAATTATATGATGTGTGTAAAATGCTCAACAAAGTTCGATAAATTATTTTTAGTGTATGGTGCTCAATTTTTTATTCATAAATACAATTTGAATTTTGCTAGCTTTGGGTGTATGCTTTTTTTTCGCTTTTTAGAAGCATACTGATATGAATTGTGTTTTTAATAAATAACATTTAAAATAAGCTTAAATTATTTGCCTATCGATAAACGCTAATACCAAAACGCGACGTACTAAACGCAAATGATGGAAACATGAAAAATCAACAATGCAAAATGAAACTCGTTCCATTTAATTTAACTAGTTCAGTTTGTTGTGACAAAACTCAAAATGATAATTTAATTTTATCTTATCAATTAGTTAAAAAACTTAAAAGTATTGTTGTGGTATTCTATTGAATTTTGAGTAAAGAAGTGTAAGTACTAAGTACCAACATAATAGTATATTATAAATTTCACTTCTGCTCTTCTGAACAAGCGTGTTTGTACACATTTGTATGTACTTACATATGTACATACATATGTGTGTTTGATAATTTACCAAAAGTAATTGTGTTGCGTTGTGTTATATGTTTACAAATGCTTATTATGTCAGTATTCTATGTGAATATCTATATGCGCATTGTATTAGTTGCAGTTATTTATTGAATAGACCATCCAGCAGTACTTTCAATTTCGAAAGCCGGACCTTACAATCTGCACCATATGAGACAGCCAACTAAGGATATCTCGTTGAAAGATCGTCCGCACATTGCCGTTCTGCTGCTTTTGCATAACAGCATCAATCTTATTGTTTTCCACACAAGGCGCACTTTTGCACGATAACACAGTATAGATTTATATATTTCGCAATGTGTCTGTGTCCCTGATTCCCGATATTTAGTAACCGGCTTGCAAGGGTCACAGTAATGTCTACCGACTGCTTAGGCCTGGTCTTCGTGCACGATGCTACTGATTAAGACTGTTTTACGTTTAATGGTTTTCATTGAGCTAGTTCTGCGATAATCCAATCATAGTAATTATAGTTGTACTACGTACATAAAACTGCGTGCGTGACACTCCAAGCCGTATAAGTTGGGACATAATCTCCGCCATATCTCATATATTTTTATTCAATATACAACAATTCGCTAAACTCAGTGAAGAGGGCTAAAGTAGCATATTTCCAAACAGTATCTTTTACCGCAGTATAGATATTATATATTCTTGATTGGCATTGTGATATCTCCGTCTGCATGAAATCTGCGGTCCCCAAAATCATAAGAAACCTATGGCACGAGCAGATGAAGTTTATTTCAAATTATCTATAACTTTTTCCTTTTTATAATGCTCTGATAGCAAGAGCGAAGTTTATGTACACTGATTCAGAGTTGTTAGAAAAGAATTTTGCATAGCGTAATCTGTTGTGCCTGGTCTGGAGTAGGGTGACAATCGAAGTTTGAGGTCCCAATTGGTCCCTTAGGTTCTTAGAGTGAATTTGACCGCTCCACTCTAGCAGCGCGTCCCGCACTCCTTTTTCTGGGCGGAGCCCACGCTTTACTGCTTTTTCTTCGTTTTCTGGCATATCACTGCTGTGCCTCCTCTACTGTATCGGTACCACAGTCTTAATCGCATTGACAGACTCCGGAGTAGGCCCTGCTTTTGCTTCCTTCTCAAGGACCTTGCTGTTTGGTTGCCGAGCAGGAACTCCCTGAAACAGAAGGTCTTCTACAGACTTTGGCATATCCACAACGCATCGTGGTGCCCATCACACAATGAAAACCCATGCCCATCCGACTACTCTTCAAATGTTTACCTGTACGGGACAGAAAACAGGCTGGGATTGATGAATTTGATGCTATGCTAGAGCACCACATAAATGAAATAGCTATAAGTATTTGAAAAAGTTTCATACAACAGTTTCCCATGATTTTCCAAATTTTTTAGATGGAATTACCCAAAGCACCTCAGTACAGTAAAAAATTTCCTCCTAGATCTTACGGTTTAAGTTTTGCGCTGATTACCAATCCGATTGTCAGGAAAAATATATTTATAATAAATAAATATATAAATAACAATGGATATATTTTTATATTTTCTAGAAATGTTAAAATGTCGGTACATTATAAATTTAAAAGTACCCTTAATTTCGACACTATAACTTTCGATGGACTTCACATTTCTGTTGCTGATTTAAAAAGAGAAATAATTCTGCAGAAACGACTTGGTAAAGTTATTGATTTTGATCTTCAAATAACCAATGCCCAAACTAAGGAAGGTAAGCGTAAAACAACATTTTTAAAATTTACTATTAATTAAATTGAATAACACTTTTTTTTTTTAGAATACAAGGATGACAATTTTTTAATACCAAAAAATACCACACTTATTATTGCCCGGATACCGGTGGCCCACCCAATTAAAAAGGGATGGGATCCGCCACCTGATAATGCTATCACAAACGTGCCCTCAAGTAAACCAGAAAACCTTAACATGGATTTATTTAAAATGCAAGGTAGTGAAGAGGAAAAAATACAAGCTATGATGATGCAAAGTACAGCCGATTATGATCCTAAAACGTAAGTATTTTAACGAACGAGTTTAATATAAATGCTTTTAATAATTGATATTATCTGCTCTCATTATGTTAAGAAACCGTCAATTGAAAAATCATTCAATACGTTTATAGTAGACATATTAAATAAAAAAGCTATAGTGTTAAAAGTTATATTAGTTCCCTCGATGCTTGAGGACCTAGTTGAAGTAATTTGTAGACTGCCCGAACCTCAAGTCCATATATCGTCTGGTTTCCGTCGGAAGCAAAGGGTTGCAGAAAATGTTGATAGCATTTGTAAGGCCCAGGTCATTTTTGGTTTGAAATATGTTAGCTTAATAGTACCTTGCCCGTTATTTCTTTAAAGATTGTAAGACGCTGCGACGGAGCAGTTTACAGTCTATTCAAGAAATCTGTAAGGTATTTAATTTTCAATGTGTCAAAGATAACCCTGCTATTTAGATCATTTTAGAAGCAATTACTCCTTAAAGTGAATAGATAACAGCCTTTCTTGATTATTTTTAAACCCACTACAACATCAATTGAATGAATATTAATATAAAATATATTCGATTCAATTGTGCAGCTATCACAGAATTAAAGGACAGTCTCAAATTGGCGAAGTGCCTGCCTCCTACCGATGTAATAAATGTAAAAGAGGTGGCCACTGGATTAAGAATTGCTCTTTTTCATCTGGAAAAGAGCAATTTGAAGTTAAGAGAAATACTGGAATTCCACGATCATTTAGAGGCAAGCCAGAAATGTAAGTAACCCGTTAAGTTATGTAAAGTAATAACTTTTACCATCTAATCAAAGGAGGCGATGATCACCAACCAGTCTGTATATGAGAGTGTATTTGTATTTCTGCAGAGCAAATACAGTATAGGTACTGCATTTATCCAACTTGTCAGTCATCATCTCATTAACAACCGATAAGCTTTCATAAATCCGTCGCTTAAATATTTTTTTTATAGTTACTAAAATTTGTATAATACAGCTCAAATGAATATAAAGGCTTTTTATAATAATCAACGACACCACGAATATAATTTTCTTGTTTAATTTTAAATGAATACCTTTTTAAATTTTATTTTTAAGCTCAACGGAACAAGAAACTTCAAACTATATAGCATCCAACGAGAAGGATCAAGAAATTCCAGAAGACTTAATATGTGGTATTTGCCGGAATATTTTCGTTGATGCCGTAATGATACCGTGTTGTGGTAGTTCCTTTTGCGATGATTGTAAGTAAAAAATTATTTTTAAAAAATCATATACTGAGCGATATTACACGGGATTGTAGATTAAAACAGACATTCGTAGGTCTAAGAACTGTGTTTTTGCAATTCTTATACCCTGAATCCATTGCATAGAGGAAGAATGGGCATAATTGTTTTGTTTAAAGAAATACAACCTTATATTATATTTATATTCTCGATCAGCATCAAATGCCTATGCCATGCACTATATCATATAACTTCTTAAAATCATATTTAACATCACACTGTCCTATTCTACCAAATACATAAAGAAGGGTAAATTATTAAAAATATAGAAGGGCAAATATATCTTAAACACTAAAGGATTCATCTATGCTCCATAGAGAAAACATATCTGTATTTGCCTGTCTTATTATTCTTTTCACCAGAATGCGATATCGTTTGCGAAAGTTTGGTCCGCTGGGATATTAGTTCTTGTATAGTTTATTTTAAACTATCGATAGAGATTAATCTTTAGCACAGGATTTTAAAGGTCCTCGTAAATCTTTTTAAAACGTACCATTTTGTAATTGTAAATTATATTTATTATTAAGTGCAAACCGAATTTATCTTTTACTTATTTCAGGTGTTCGAAATTCATTGCTGGAATCGGAAGATAGTGAGTGTCCAGACTGTAAGGAAAAAAACTGTTCACCAGGATCGTTGATTCCAAATCGGTTTTTAAGAAATTCAGTGAACGTTTATAAGAATGAAACTTTGTCGAAGCTTGGAGCATTTAAATCTGGTAAGATATGAATATATTTAATATTTTAAGAACATTTAAAATCATATAAATACATATATAAA